CATTTCTCTCCCCGACTCTCTGCGGTGGCACCTTGGAGGTAGGATGGCCAACAATGTCGAGCTGGAGCGTTGGTCTCCGGACTTTTTCCGAATTTTGCTAGCAGTCCGCCGACTGTTGGTGTGTGCGCAGCCTCTCCTTCAGAGGTTCACTGCTTCGAGAGCGGTGCCCTTCGCGGCCCTCGGTTCGCATTTGCCCGCGTATTGAAGGGCTTCGGTGGACACCTGCACGCGCACATATGTGTTGACACTCATCTTTATATGCACACATGATATATAAACGCATACATCTATATATATATACACACATATACCTGGTGTTATGTTGGATCATCGACTTTCCACTTTCCTCCCTCGCCCCGCCCTGCATGCCGCCCTTCTCGCTCCCAGCTCACCCTCTTCCTCTCCCATCCATGCCGCCTCAGTTGGACCAGAGCTGTTGTCGGAGGATCGCGCCGCATTGCCATTGAAACGGCGATGAGGCGCGATCCTAGATCCGATGTGCTTCATCCCGACGTCGCCGATGCGGCATGATCCCCCTACCCTGTTCACTCAAGCGCCGCGTGTGCGGCCTCTGTCCATTCCCCCCTCCCCCCTCTCCCTCACTCCCCTCCCCCCGGAATGGCGGTGGTAAGGGAGAGAGGCGAGGAGCAAATCAGGTGCGCTCTCGTCATATCTGGCATCCTACCCTTCCCACTCATCCCTGCCCTTTGCGCAGATTTTCGTTTATCCGTCGACCGGTGCCATAGTGGACCTGGGACCCCCAAAAGGCCCAAAAGGACACCATTCTGTTATGCGCAATGATTGGATGGAGCTGTGCGCATTGGAGAAGGAGGAGGACGAGGTGGCGGATGATCAAGAAAATTAGCTGGACGAAGAGGATGCGGATGACGAGCGAGGAGAGCGAGGAGGAACAGCAGCAGCAGGAGCAGGAGGAGCAGGAGGAGCGGGAGGAGCAGGAGGGCCAGGGAAGGCGGAGGAGGGGAAAGGAGCGGGGCGACACCGACGAAGAAGGACTCGAGTCCATAACTGTGGCCCGCGTTGGGGCGAGAGCGCCATTCTGAGCGACGGGAGCGCAGCGTCGATCCCAAAGCGAGGCCAGCGCTGCGGCGCAAGCATCATTTTGCAACACCGAGAACACATGCGGTCAACCCGCATAGTAAGGATGAGCGGCTTTCCAAGGTTGCCGGTGTATCCGTGCCCCTTCGGCCCACCACTGGCACTCTTCGTTGGCCAGCCCCGCTCGAGAGACGCCAGCATGGCGCTCCCAGGCCCGTGCATTCTTCACGCGCGCCCTTACCCCAGACATCCCTCCAATTTTTGTTGGTGCGTGGCCCCATCAGATCTGGACCACTTTCCTGGGACCGGTTTTTCGCCCCAGTTGTTGTTTGACGCTCCCGAGGCCCGGCGAGGGCCCCTGGAGGCCGAAAACTGGCGAAAACCGCCCGCTCCAGGTTGTGCCGGAGCGTCGGATCGCAGGGACTGTGCGGGCTGACCGTGCAGCCACATCGCAGTCGAAGTCCGGCCGCCTCGGGAGACCACCTCTGCGGGAGCGAGGGGGGGCGCCCCGCTCGTGCGGTGGTCCTCCGGAGGGAGGGGGCGGGCGCTGTGCCGGGGATGTGTGTGTGGCTCGGCGTGCCGCGCCGCCGCTTCAGGCCCGCTGCGCCTCGGCGCGACGCTCTGTCCACGTCCGCGTTCCCGACCACTGTTTGGCAAAGCCTGCGTTTTTTTAGATATCTATATATATAAGAGAGAGAGAGAGAGAGAGAGAGAACAAACCAACAAAACAAACTGTTTTTTAGACATCTCTTTCTCTATATATATATATATATATATATATATACACATACACATACATACACATATAACAAAGGATCTGGACATACTCGGGGGAAGGGGGAGGGCAGCAGTCACCAGGTGTGCTCGCGACACGAAAGAGCGGGCCTCGACGTCCCCAGCCTTGCCCAGCCCCCGTCGCGCGAGGCGGGGCGAGGCGCGATCCGCTCGCGGGGCGGGCCGCCGGGGTCGCGACGCGCTGCGCAGACAGTTCCCGACCGCGGGATGTCGAGTCAGTGCAGTCGAGCATCCGACCAGGAAACCTCCTCTCCCAAAAGGCTGGCCCAGCGTTCAGTCGGGCCTGTCCCCCTACAGGGGGATTTTCTACGAAAAATCACAAATACCCCCAAAATAATCCAAAAATAGTCTGGGGACTATTTTTTTTGCCTTTTTGGTATATTTCTGTGGTATGTATTGTTGTTCGTTGAAAATCCCGATGTAGGGGGACACGCCCGACATAAGCCCAGCGTTCCTTAGCCAACCTGCTGGAGAGCTGGCCCCGTTTCTGCAGCACGCTCGCCCCCCCCTCCAGCGTCAGCAACAGAACCAGAGCTTACCCCGGGCTTGTTCGACGAAGCTTCGGGGAGGCTGGCCCAGAGGTTTCAGAAATCATACAAGTTCCTTGATCACATGTTCCGCTGTACTTGTGGAAGTGGAGAGGGAAGGGGCGGGTGGACCGTCCTCCCTCCCCTCCCCCCCTGCGAGGGGAGCCCCGCAGGGAGGCGGAGGCGATGAAGAGGCCTCCTCCCGGGCCCGGGCACCTCGCGGCGGTGGCCTCAGAGGGGCTTTGGGGAGATCTCCAGCTGCCAGGGCAGGCCGCTAGAGGCCCGAAGGGAGCCAAAAGCATTCAGAACCTCGATCCCAGATGTCCGACGACCTTGTTTGAACTGGCGGTTGTTTTGTTTTTCCACATGTCGGCCCTCGAGGGGGACTTAGGGAGCTACCCCCAGAGAAGCGGTCGGGACCTACTGGGCCGCGGATATACCACAAAACGTTATTTGTTCCATTAAAAAAACGAGCATTGGAGGATGTCAGGGATGCTCGACCCTCCTCGAGGTGCGCAGCGCCGGCAAGCGGAAGTGCCTCGAGCTGGACACGCTCACGGTGGCGCTCAACCTGATGGAGCACTGGAATCCGCAGATCCGCACCCACATCAACGGCAGCCAGCCTCCCCCCCAAAAATCCTCGAGGTCCAGGGATCGAGATTTTCGATGTGCGCTCTGGCCACATTTGTTTTTGCCTCTGGGGACCTGCGGCGGTCTCTGGAGGCCTGCGGGGATGCGTCTCTGGACGTCTCCGCGCAAGCCCGTGGAGGAGACGTTAGGAGGCCTCTGGAGGTCCACAGAGGGCTTCAAACTCTGAAAGCATTGGAGGCGCTCGAACCTCGAACCTCAGAGATCCGAGGCGGGGGTTCATCCATCACCACGGCCTGGGGGATTTCTCTCTGGGGACCTCGGCAGGCGGCGGATATGGGCATGTGAAGTGTGGGGCAATGCATAGATACACACCCATTCATATCCGCCGCCTGCTGAGGTCGCAGAACATCGATGCGGTGGCGATGGGCACATCTCCACCTCGCAGGAAAGGGCGACTCGGAGAGGAGGCAGGCGGCACCGTGGTGACGAGTCTGGCAGGCATGCAACGGGCAGCGCGCGGGCGCTGGCCGCAAGCGTGGGCCGATGTTCACCACCTCAGGGATGTTGCGGTCGGCAGCTGAGGGGAACGCGCCGGCGACGCCAAGAGTTGGGGCCCCAGAGGGGCCCGAGGTCAGGAACTTCGGCTTCGCGTGTCGTGCCGCCGGTCCTGGCGCACTATGCTTACGTCGGGCCTGTCCCTCTACAGGGGGAACATTCAAAGATAGTCGAAAAATAGTCGGGGGGCCATTTTTTGAGCATGTGTTGGGTATCTGTTTTGAGTATTTTTGGGGGGTCTGTTTAATTTTTCGCCCCAGATCCCCCTGTAGGGGGACGGGCCCGACCGGAGCTGAGCCTGTCCTGCCGCCGGCCCTGGCGCACGATGCCTCGGCACGGCACGCCGTCCGCGTCCACGTCCCGGCGCCCGAGCGTCGGCGGTCCGAGCCTCGCCGAGCGTCCCGCCCCGAGGAGCGCCTCCTCCTCCTCCTCCTCCTCCTCCTCCTCCTCCTCCTCCTCCTCCTCCTCCCTCCTCCCTCCTCCCTCCTCCCTCCTCCCTCCTCCTCCTCCCTCCTCCCTCCTATTCCTCCTCCTCTCCTCCTCCTCCTCCTCCCCTCCTCTCCCCCCTCCTCCCCCTCCTCCTCCCCCTCCTCCTCCTCCTCCTCCTCCTCCTCCTCCTCCTCCTCCTCCTCCTCCTCCTCCTCCTCCCCCTCCTCCTCCTCCTCCTCCTCCTCCTCCTCCTCCTCCTCCTCAATGGGGCACGCTGTCCGCTGGCAGGGTACGCCGCGTCGCAGAGGGGCCGCCGCCGCGGCCTCGCTGAGAGAAAGCCCCCGATCGGGTACGATCCAGGAGGGAACAACACACACACACACAGACACAATGCATCGTCGAGTCCCAGGAAAATATGGGAAAAGATGGGAAGTGGGGGGGAAGACAAAAGCCCAGAATAGATGGGAAAACATTGGGAAGCTGGTTATTTGTGTGTGTTTATTTGTGTGTCCTTGGGCCCCTTCAGAGCAGAAGCCCCCGATCGAGGACGATTGCGAACACGTTGCCGCATGAGTTGCTGCAGTCATGCATGCATGTATGTCTGTGGCGCCATCCGTAGCCGCCGAGGCTCGAGTCCAGAAGTCGTTCGGCACGTTCTGGCTCTGGGCAGAGGGAAATCTGCGCGATCACAGCTTGCGAACCATTTGGTTTCGTCAAACCCTCGTGCGCCGAGCTCCGCGCCGCGGCTCGAAACGCTCAAACAAAAGCCCGACCGTGAACCTCCCCAACCCAGATCACATCAAAAGACCCCCAGAAGGTCCGCAAGACGACCCCAAAGAGCCCAATAGGCCCCAAAGACGGCGCCAGGACGACCCCGCAGACCTCCAGGACGGCCCTGAAGCGCCCTCCTCCTCCTCCTCCTCCTCCTCCTCCTCCTCCTCCTCCTCCTCCTCCTCCTCCTCCTCCCCGAGGCTGCGGGGCTGGGAGCCCGCGGCGCGCGGGCTGCCCGCGGAGCAAAGAGGGGCCTCCAGACCGCCTCCACAGGCCAGAAGGCCCCTCAGAGGCTTCGTGCTCCCAGCTCTTTGGTGGTCCGCCCCAGCGCCCGGCGCGCGGAGGGCGGCGGTGCCGCCGGCGACCTCGTCCTCGGCGCCAGCGGCCGTGCCCGCGCCTCGTGTCGTCGAAGGGAAGTGGAGGCCTCCCTGATGAGCGATGGAAAGACATTGGTCTTACGCTCCCCCATCACTCTCCCCCTCCTCCTCGTCCTCCTCCTACTCCTTCTTCCTCCTCGTCTCCTTCTTCCTCCTCGTCTCCTCCTCCTCCTTCCTCCTCCCTCCTCATCCTCGTCCCTCGTGCCGCCGACGTCGAGCGCTTCATCTCCCGCGCGCACGCAGCGTCCGCCTCTCCGCCCCGGCTCCCGGAGAAAGCGGTTGGGCTGTCGCCCCGAGGGGGTCAGAGTGCGCTGCCACTCCAAGCCGCCAAGTTCTCGCCGTGCAGCAAACGCAACTCATCATCATCATCATCATCATCATCATCATCATCATCATCATCATCATCATCATCATCATCATCATCATCCTCATCCTCATCCTCATCATCATCATCAGCAGCAGCAGCATCAGTATCATCGTCATCGTCATCATCATCAGCAGCAGCATCATTATCATCATCATCGTCATCATCATCAGCACAGCATCATCAGCATCACCAGCATCAGCATCAGCAGTGTCATCATCGTCATCGTCATCGTCATCATCGTCGTCATCAACATCATCATGATGATCCTCATCATCACCATCATCGTCCTCCTCGTCAGCAGCAGCATCATCGTCATCACCATCAACGACATCAGCATCATCAGCATCAGCATCAGCATCATCATGATCAGTACTGGCATGTACCACCACCAGCACCATCATCATAATCAGCATACGCATCATTATCGGCCTCAGCATCATAATTAGCATCACAAACATCACCATATTCCACGTCGTCCTCAGTAACATCATCAGCATCATCATCATCATCACCATCATCGTCAACATCATCATCAGTATCATCATCACCACCATCATCATCACCACCATCATCATCATCATCATCATCATCGTCATCATCATCATCATCATCATCGTCATCATCATCGTCATCATCATCATCATCATCATCATCATCATCATCATCATCATAATCATCATCATCATCATCATCATCATCATCATCATCATCATCATCGCCATCATCATCACCAGCAGCAGCAGCAACATCATCATCATCACCGTCTTAATCAGCAGCAGCAGAAGCATAATCAGCATCAGCACCAGCATCATCATCACCACCACCACCATCATCATCAGGCCGCCCAGATTTCGCCGTGAAGCAAACGGATCTTGAGGGAAACGATTCCCGGACGCGATTCGCCTTGCCCGGGCTCCCAGGGACCTCCACGGGGCCCCGGGACCGTCCAGAGATTGCTCAGGATGCACAGCTGGTCCTGGGAGAAGGCCCCGCGGGTCTGGGACCCGCTTCCCTCAGGGCCCGCTTGCTTCACGCCGACCGGGCGGTGCCCGAGCAGGCAGGGTCGGGGGACCGCGCCGCATCGCGGATGCTCTGTCGGTGCTGCGCGATCCAGAGCTCCACGCTCTGCGTCCCCCTGTCAACGGTGCACTGCGGACGTGGCACGACCCGCCGACCCCTCCCTCTTCCGATCCCCCTGATTGGCGGCCTCCAGTCACGCACCTCGGGTCTCGGGCCCGACACGCGCCCCCCCCCCCCCCGCCCGCCCCTAGGAGCCGCGCGCGCGGAAGCTCACTCCTGCCCAGGGGTCACTCTTGGCGTGTAGCCGTGGGATGCGACTACACGTGAGCTCGACCCTTCGCCGGAGTGGCCTTTGGCTTTGGACCCCTTGCGCCCCCCCCTTCCTAAGGCCGCGCGCCAAGCTCACCCTTGCCCAGGGGTCACTCCCTGCGTGTCGCCGTGCAGTCAACGCGCCCAGTACGGACGCGCGCCTTCATCTAGGGTATACCCTCGTGTCCTTGCCTCTGCGGCCCGCCCTTAGCCGTTCTCACTGGTCGCCCGCCGCCCATCCCAACCTCGGCCTCCAAGGTCGTCGTTTTCTTATTGCATTGTTTTGCCGATCGGCGCGGGCCCTCTCCCCCCCCCTCTCCCCCCCCCATGAAGTAGATCTTGGCTGTTTTTGGCGCCTGCTCCGAGCAGGTGGAGTCTCCCCCATGGGACGCCCTGTTACAAGCAGTCGCACTAGGCAGAGGTCGGGAGCCACATCCCCCCCCTCCCCCCCTCCCCCCCACCCAATGCCGAAACGCCAAACGAGAACATGCTCACAAGGGTCCTGCGTGCTTACCGCCCGTCCTTCTACTGCGCGCTGTGGCTGCAGAGGTGCCGCAGGGCGCCCGAGAGGCGTGGGAAATGGCTTGGCGAAGAACTCTGAGGAAGGACCTGGAAAGGGCTGCCGAATGACCTTCTGGAGGGCTTCCGGGCACGCGTGTTGGGAACCGCTTAGAGAAGGTCCTTCGGGACCCGCTGCGAGTGCAAGCAGCTCGCGCCGAGGCTCCCCGGCCGCCGCCGGAACGGCGTCCGGGGCTACAGTCGGGGCGCCGAAGGAGGAGCCCTTTTCCTTAGGGGAGGGGCTCGGTGCTCCTGGACTGTTTCGCAGTTTGCCTCAAGTGTTCCTGAGGCTTCCTATGGGAGGTCGAGGTCTAACTTCTGGGAGAAAAAAAGGCCTTGTTCCTTAATTACTTTGTGTTCCTCGGGTCCACGCCCCGACTGCGCCCCGCGGCCCCGGCTCCTCGATCGGCAGCCCTCTCGGCTCAGGGCCCCCGCCCCGCCCGGGAGGCGGCGGGGCGACGCCCCGCGGGCGCGGGCGGCCCCTCCGGCCGCGCGCCTCTCGCCGCCGCGCCGCCCCGCCGCGCCCAGCCCGAGGAGCCGCGGCATTCCCCGGGGCTGCGCCGCACGGCGCGCGTGGCTCAAGGCTCAGGTGTTGTTCACTGGTTTGGGCCGGTGCTCAAGCCCTAACAGGAGGGCGCACACACGTGTGGGTTGGTGAATGCACCTGAGATAAAGAGATTCAGTGCACGGGGCGAGGGAAATTTGCAGCACTATCAAATTGTTGCTTCTTCTGTATCGTCTCTTCTACTCTTCCACATGAGAGGGGGGGGCACCCCGTCCGCGGCTTGGCGGCCCCCCCGATGGGAGGGCATGTTTTTTTGCAATCTGGCGGTTCGTCCCGGAGTTCGGCCTTCTATAATTAGGCTCGCTCTCGGGCCCTGGGGGCCATCAAGGACGGGTCCGGGGCGAAAGACCACCCCTGGGGGGGGCCGCGGACTGAAAAAGATCGGATCGGCGGATGTCTGGGTCGATGCGCTCGTCTTGATACGCAGCACGTGCCGTGCTCGGGACGCCCGGGTCGATGCGCTGCGTGCTGGCTCCATTCGGGGGCGGCCAAGAGGAGGGGGGGTTCTCAGGGCAAGAGCCATGATATCTTCCTGGATGTCATGGCCCCTCTTCTTGTTTCAATGCGTTCCTTGGGCCACCCCTGGTCCGCGCACATGCCTCGGGCCATGATTTGCACACACCCCTCTTGGACGCCTCCGGTCACGTATTGGATTGGCCCACGTTTTGGCCAACGTGTCGCGTCAGACCTACGTTTTCGGTCTGCGTGTTGGGCTCCGTGTCAACACGCTGCGTGCCGCGTGTTGCGTATCGGGGCAGCTAAGGTCCTCGGAGGTCGAGTAGGAGATCGACTGCAGGCCCCAAGTGATTAGCTTCCGTCGAATCTACAATGGATACGGAAGATGCTCCGTATAGATCTTCGGATAATTATATGTCTTGCCCGTAGTTAGAGTCGACGCACATTTCAATTTCAGTGTCGATCTTCGATGCAAAGCTCCAGCGTTTTTGAAAAAGTCGAGACGGAGTTTTTTCGCCGTTCTCGGTCTCTGGAGGCCCTTGCTGGGCCCAGGGGCCGTCCAAAGAGCGACTCGGGATGAAAAACTGGTCCCGGGGAATGGGTCGAGACCTTCGGCGACCGCGCACTGACAGATCGAGGCATCGCATCTTTGGGCACCCGTCTTGGGCGACGTCGGCAGGCCACCGCACCGATGCCGGCCGGTCACAACTTGGGCCCCGGAGCGCGGTGCACCTTCGTTCGGGTCCTCAGAGATCCGATGTCGTGATTGTTTCAAGGCGGGCCCCCCGGAAGTTTCGACCCCTTCGCCAGGACTGGCTTTTCATCGTGAACCGTGGGTCCGGCGAGGGCCTCTGGAGGCCGAAACAGCGAAAAGCCTCCGTCTTGATTTTTGTTCAGTGCGATGTATCTCTAGCGTAGCTGCCCCGATACGCAACACGCAACACGTGGCGTATTGATACGGAGCTCAACACGCGGACTGGAAACGTAGGTCCGACGCGATACGTTGGCCACAACGTGGGCCAATACGTGGAGCCAACACGCAACGTATTGACACGGACGTCTTGAACACGGGACGCGTTGCGTTTCAGTACGGGCGCATCGAGACAACTGAGAAATCTCTGGGCCTGAGCGGCGCAACTTTTCAACGCTCGCCGGGCTTCTTTCGGGCCCCCCGGAAGTTTCGACCCCTTCCCCGTGACTGGTTGTTCATCGTGAGCCGTGGGTCCGGCGAGGGCCTCTGGAGGCCGACACAGCGAGAAGCCTGCGTCTTGATTTTTGGTCAGTGCGATGGATCTCTGGGTCTGAGCGGTGCAACTTTTCAACGCTCGCCGGGCTGCTTTCGGGCCCCCCGGAAGACCGCCACGAAGATCGGCATGGTGCGCGCTTTTTTTTTTTGGAGGGGGGGGGGGCGCCTCTGCCGCCGCGCCTTCCGTCAGGAGGGCGGCCTCCATGGGTCCATGCCAGGCCCTTTTTTTGCGGACGGGGCCATCTCCTCCTGCTCTTCTTGCTCCTCCTCCTCCTCCTCCTGTTTCTCCTCCTCCTCCTCATGCTCCTCGTCCTTCTCCTCCTCCTCCTGCTCCTGCTTTTCCTCCTCCTCCTCCTGCTCCTCCTCCTCCTGCTTCTCCTGCTGTTCCCCTTCCTCCTCCTGCTCCTCCCCCTCCTCCTCTTCCGCCTTCTCATCCTCCTCCCCCTCCTCCTCCGCCTCGTCCGCCTCCTCCTCCTCCTGCTTCTCCTCGAGGGCCGCGGCGCCCGAGACATCCTCCAGAGGCCGCCCGATCTCAGAGATTCTCGATTCATCCTCGCCCGATGTTATCCTCGGCCAGGCTTCGTCTTACGTTTCCTCCAGAGCCAGACTGGATCCCATCTCGCCCACCTCTTCGCGTTGCGGAGGTCCGCCGGGAAGGCGTAAGACCTGAGAGGGGCGGCCCCCAGAGAGCAGGCCCTTCAGAAACTCGCAAGATCCACCTGGCTCGGAACAAGCAACAAAAAAATGGGCCGATGGTTCGGATATAAATCCTGGAAGGTCAACGTCTGATCTTGCCCTGGTCCGAAATCCAGTTTGATCCGGCTTGCCTACTCCCGCTGTGTCGGCTTAATCCCGTTCCTCTAAAAAGGCTGCCGCCTGCGGCAGACCCCGAAGAGGTAACGTGGAGTTTCGTCTTGGCGCTGGTCAGCCTCGATGCGTGGCAAGCAGAAGGGGCAGGCGTACGGGCGGGCAAAGGGGGTCGAACGAGAGAGTTTCAATACAAGATGAAAATCCAAAGTTTGCGTGAACAATTGGGGAAACACGCTCATGCAACCGTGAAGTAAACGCCCGCCGCAGTAAAGGCCACCAGAATCTCACAAGGTTGAGGTCGATCTTCAAATCCTTAGGGACACCGGAAACCGGCGAGCGGTTCCGGCGCTGAAGCGTCTACCACGATTCTCCCTCCTCCCTTCACCGCTCTGGCTCGGCTGTAGCATTCTGTGGCCTCCACCCCAGACCGCCGTTGGCAGGCGTTCTCCGGCTCCCGGCTATGCCAGCGACATCGGCCCTGGACGCCAACGACGCCCTGCCCTTCTGCGGTGTTCAGGTGGTGCACACCTGCCCGCAGTCTCCCCCAGGCGGGGCCTCTGAACGCTGGTGGGTAGTGCCGCCGTGGTCCCGCGCGACGGTCCCCCCGTCCACGGACGCATGCACCCGGGACTCACGACATGACTACCGACGCCTGGTTCAGTGACGACCTGTCTTCGAGCACATGAGGTGCTTTGTGAGTGAGGCTCCCTTTGCCCCCCTGTCCCTCTCCCGCCTTCTCTTCCCCCCCCTTTCCCCCCCCTGTCGCCCTGCCCTTCGCCGTCCAGTCTGTCGGGTGCTGGCGCCACTGTGCGACGCCCCGCTATCCGTCGTCGGCTGCCGTTTTGGTTCGGCTTAGTTAATGAGGTTCATTTTGTTCCTCGCATTTGCATTCCGGCGTTGGCTTTGGCCCGCTGGCAATTATCTCGCTTGTTGCCCCATGCTTGCTTCGACCCGCTCTCTGGAATCGTCCTTGGAGCCGCAGATCAAAAAAGTAACCCCACCAGCTTCCGTAGCCCCCCCTGGCTCAAGCCGCTCTGGCTCAAGCCGCGCGCCGCCAGGAGGCCCCTTCCTTTGCCCGTCCTTTCCGTCTTACCTGTTTCCCGTCTCGCTGGCATGGCCGCGGCTCCAGCCGCGGACCCGCTGCAGGCGGCTGACCCTTGGAGGAGGGCGGCCGCCGCAGGTGGGCACTGGAACACCGCTGCCGCTCCCGAGTGGACGCTGGCGCGCGTGGCGACCAAGGGACCAGCAGGAGTGGGAGACGCCAGCTGCGCGGCGACGGCGACAACGACGTTCTGCCGCGGATCGTCGGCCCGCGGCTCCAGCCGCGGGCGCCGCGGGCGCCGCCGGCGCCGCCGGGGCCGGCGCCGCGGGCTCGGCGGCCGGCGCCGCCGCCGCCACCCCTGCGGCCGCCGGCGCCGCTGCTGCTGCCGCCGCCGCCGCCGCCGTGGCGGAGGCGGCCGCCGCGGCGGCCGCTGGCCTCGCGGCCAGCGCCGCGGCCGCCGTGGCCCGCGCGGCCGCCCTTGGGCCCGCCGCCGCGGGCGGCGCCGCGGCCGCCGCGCCGCGGCCGCCGCCGCCGTTGGCGCGGCGGCTGCGGCCGCGGCGGCCGCGCAGCAGCAGCAGCAGCAGCAGCAGCAGCAGCAGCAGCAGCAGCAGCCGCTGCAGCTGCACCTGTAGGAGCAGCAGCAGCGACAGCAGCGACAGCAGCAGCAACAACAGCCGCAGCAGCAACGGCAGCAGCGGCAGCAGCCGCAGCAGCAGCACCTGCAGCAGCAGCCGCAGCTGCTGCGACGGCAGCCGCAACAGCAGCAGCAGCAGCAGCCGCAGCAGCAGGGCAGCAGCTGCAGCAACAGCCGCAGCAGCAGCAGCAGCAGCAGCAACATAACCCAGCAGCTGCAGCACCAGCAGCAGCAACCGCAGCAGCGGCGGCAACAGTGGCAGCACCCCCCACCACAGCCACAGCAGCAGCTACAGCTGCTGCAGCTAAGCACCCCGCAGCTGCCACAGCAGCAACCCCCCCTTTGGGAGCCAGCAGAACCCACGAGAAGACTCAGAGGTACCCTTGCCCCCTGAGCAGCAGCAGCAGGGCAGAGAAAAGGAGAGGGGGGCCGCGGCGGAGTCGGCGGAGGGTGCGGAGACCGCGGAGTGTCGGGGGCCCGAAGCGGCGGAAGCCTCTGAAGGTGCGGAAGTGGCACAAGCCTTCACCCGCGTCTCTGGATTAGAACCAGGCGGGCAGGGGGTGGCCCCCGAAAGTGCTCACGGCAGCCGCGACAGTCAGCTAGGCGAGATCCCGGAACAGCAGGGGCTCGCCTGCCACACCGTGCCACCCCCACCCCCCCCTCAAAACAATCAGACCGTCAGCAGTCCTCTGGGAGCGCCACAGACCCAGCAGGGGGACCGCGGACCAACCGCCCAAACGCAGGACAGCGAAGCCGTCCACTGGCTCGTCGGGAGAAACCCCTGCGCGCCTGTCCGCCCCCCCTCCCCTGCCAGTGAACCCATTCCAATGGGCGGCGAGCCCCAGGCGCTCCCTCCAGACGGCCAGGGCACGACTGACAAAGAATTTTGTGCTCTGGCAACGGAAACTGCGTCGCCGCACGCGCACGCGCCCGGCGCAACCATGGCTGCAGCGGCACCCAAGAGACCGGCGAGAGCCCTGCGCTGGCCGAAGGGGGCACGCCCGGGAGCGACGGCGGGCACAGGCCAGAAGGCGAACGCCAACGAAAGGGGCCTCTCCCCACGCAACACAGGGCAGCGTCCGCCCTGGCTGCCGGAGACGATCCACCCCCAGCCTGGCGGCCAACCATGCGACCCGCCTCTCCCCGCAGAACCCCGCCAGGCGTGCAGCCGGAACTGTCGCGAGCAGATCGCGAGCCCTCCGGCCAGGGCGGCGAGGCCAGCGCGCTGGAGACTTGCGGCCAGGATACACGGCAGCAACAATGGCCTGACCCGCGCCAACGGCCAGAGCCCACGGACCCCGACACGGGACAGCAGCTGTACAAGACAGAAATCAAAAACATCCAGTGGGGCCTACCCAGGGAGACACCCGGCGAGGCGATAAGGCGGCTCCAAGTCACACTGGCAACACTGTTCACAGGCACCTGGCACGCTTTCGCCAAGCGGCAGCCCGTGCCTGGCAGCAAAGGCGCGCTCGACCCGCTTCGGCACGACCCGCAAACCTGCCACCTCTTCCTGGAATCCTTCCGCAGCCACAAGTGCGACGCGCGGGTCGTCAGCGACGCGCTGGGCCCCGACGTCGACTGGATTCGGCTGTGGCATATGCGCCCGGGTCGAAGCGGCGGAGCGAGCAGGGGCCACCACGCGGCAAAGGGCCACCCGGACACCCAGGCACCCAGGAAGGGCAAAAAACAATGGCGGACCGCCTCCCCACAGTAGCCGTTGCTGCCCCACCTCGTGGCATCGCACGCGCGGGGATCCGGTGCGAGCAGGATGGTCATTTGCAGGAGGCCCGTTGCTGCCCAGCAAAACGCGGCCTGCAAAAGGGGTGCATTCGGACCCTGCGGCCCTGGGCGCACGCGGGGGCTGCAGTACCTCGAGCCCTGGGCCTCCCTCGGGGGGTCAAGGCGCCCTGGCATCCCCGTCCTGGCTGCCAAGGGCCTCTCTTCGCCCCCCCCCCCCCCCCTCCCCGCGCGCGCTTCGTCTTGGCCGCCTCCGGGCGCGGCGGCCCTAGACGCACGCGGAGGCACTATCCAATCGCAGATGGGGCTCTCTCAGACACACTTTCCACACATCGTGTTCTGCGGCGGTTAGCTGCGCCCCCCGTGTCAGCGAAAGGTCGATGCATCATAGACGGGGCTCTCGCTGACACACTTTCCATCAAATCGTGTTGCGCGGCAGTTAGCTGCACCCCCCGTCATGCCGTCGATCAGTTTCCCCGCCACTCTCAGCGGCAAGTGCGTTCACTGTCATCAATTGCAGCGCTGAGAGCAGAGGCGGAGGCATTTTCCAATCATAGATGGGGCTCTCGCGGACACACTCTCCATCAAATCGTGTTCTGCGGCCGTTAGTTGCCCCCCCCCCCCCGCGCCAGCGAAAGGTCGATGCATCATAGGCGGGGCTCTCGCAGACACACCTGCGGCGGACCGGGCGGGAACGGAAGGGGCATTGAGACGGATGTTCAGGTTCGGGAGTGTCCTGTCTCGGCTCCCCCCTCCTAACTCCCGCCCCCGTTTCGTTCCCTGTCCCGCCCTCGCTTCCCCCCCCCCCGCCTCGGGGCCGCTCGGGACTCCTCGCCTCCAGCAGTAAGGACCATCCAACTCCCTGAGGCCGACAATGGCGGCCCAGGGGGGCACCGAGAGGCATCAGATGAGGCGGGCCCCTTAGGGGCCCGCCTCCTCCTGGCACTCCTAGGCTAGGAGTGCCAGGAGGAGGCGCGACAGCTCGCAGCTGCGGAGGACGCTTGCCCCCCCCCCCCCCCCCCCCAGAGAGCATGCGCTTGTATCTCCTCAGAACAGCGGCGAGCCACGCCCCCGAGGCGCAATCTGGCGACGGCGACGGAGACGGAGGCAACCACCTACAAATAGTGATTCTTGCGGCGGTTAGCTGCACCCCCAATGTGAACGGAAGAGCTCTCAGCGGCAAGTGCGCGCACTGTCATCAATTGCAGCGCTGAGATCAGAGGCGGAGGCACTTTTCAATCATAGATGGGGCTCTCGCAGACACACGTTACATCATATCGTGTTCTGCGGCGGTTAGCTGCGCCCCCCCGTGTCAACGAAAGGTCGATGCATCATAGACGGGGCTCTCGCCAACACACTTGCGGCGGACCGGATGGGAACGGAAGGGGCATGGAGACGGATGTTCCGATTCGGGAGTGTCTTGTCTCGGCCCCCCCCCCCTCTCCCGCCCCCGTTTCGTTCCCTGTCCCGCCCCCGCCCCCCCCCCCCCCCCCGCCTCGGGGCCGCTCAGGACTCCTCGCCTTCAGCAGTAAGGACCATCCAACTCCCTGAGGCCGACAATGGCGGCCCAGGGGGGCACCGAGAGGCATCAGATGAGGCGGGCCCCTAGGAGTGCCAGGAGGAGGCGCAACAGCTCGCAGTTGCGGAGGACGTTGCCCGCCCCCCCAGAGAGCACGCGCCTGTATCTCCCCAGACAATGGCGAGCCACACCCCCGAGGTGCAATCTGGCGACGGAGACGGAGGCAACCACCAACAAATAGTGACTCTTGCGGCGGTTAGCTGCACCCCCAATGTTACTGGAAGCGTGGGCTCAACGGCGGTTAGCTGCACCCCCCCATGACCATGAGAGAGAGAGAGAGAGAGAGAGAGAGAGAGAGAGAGTATTCTGCGGCGGTTAGCTGCACCCCCCTTCTCAGCACAACTCAGGATCAGCGTGCGCGAACACCCAGGGTGGACACTCCGAGGGGCCTCGAGGCCTACGAGAGCGCCCACCTCAGGAACACATTGGATCAGGGCCGCATCAGCTTAGGGGAAACCCAGGAGATGACCATGGCCCTAGCCCTCGGTTTCGGGGCCTGGCCGAGGGGTGTGGCAGTGCTTCTCCTCGCCTCTCCCCTCTCGGGCCCGGCGGCCGTCCCCCGCCCTCGGCCTCGGGGCCTGCCTGACGTGCTATCCGACGTCGGGGTGGTCGCCCCCCCTCCCAGGGCCGCCCGTGTTCTGCGCTTCGTGGTCTGGCTCCCACTCTCTGCGGAGTGTGCTTCGGCCCTGGAGGACCTCGTGGTGTTTGTTGGGTCTCGGGTCTAGGGGGCTGCGCCTATCGGCGGACTGGGCCTGGCTTGCCTCCTGGCCCACGTGTCCTCCACAGTGCAGTTCCCACAGGCGCCTCGCCCTTTGACGCCGCAGGAGGCAGCTGCATCACCAGTGCCGCCCTTCCCCTCGCTCCTCCGCTGGCGGTGCGTCCCCGCCTGCGCCCCCCCCCCCCCCTCTCTGAGGCCTGGCGCCGTGCTGGCGCGCGCTGCGTGGTCCACAGTCGTTTGTTCCCCTCTTGCCCCGTGGAGTGGTCACTCGGGTGTTGGGTCGCCACGGAGTGGTTCAGCCTTCCGCAGCAAGACAGCACCCAGGCTCCCACCAGCTGCCAGTCAGTGCGCCGTACCAGTTCCGCGACAGCTGCTTGGCTTGCAGACGTCGTCGCGGGCGTTCTGAGTCTAGCGCCCCACAGGCGACTCACTCCACCGGCCTCCCACTGCCTCCACTGCAGCAGAACCCCTTCTGGCAGGCTGCGCAGGCGCTTCACCGCTAGACGGCGGTGCCCCCCACGCCTGCGGATCTCTTCGCTTCAGGGATCGGCATCGCAGTTGCGCCTTGGGCACAGCCGCGTGGCTCCACCTGGCACTGGGAGGCGGATTACTGAGGTCTGGGCGCCGCGAGGTTCAGCTTGTTACGCCTGTGCAGCCTTCGGCTTTGAATGCAAATCATCGTGCTCAGTGCATGTGCAACTGCACGCTTGTTGTGCAATTAGCTTTGTGCCGCCCGCCCCGGACATTGCCTCTCGCCGCCAGGCCGTTGTCGCGCGGCCGCCGACCAAAAAAGTAACCCCACCAGCTGAGCTTTGTCCGCCGACTCTGGCGGCAATTGTCTTGCAAATTAGCCCCGTACCGTGACCCGGACGCCGCTTCCGCTCCTTGTCCGTTGCCTCGGAGCCGCTGACCAAAAAGTAACCCCACCAGCCCATCCAGAAACGATGCCCAGAGGAGTTGGCCTGATCAGTGTAGTGGGTGAGCATACAGAGGAACAGTGGCCTGTGGAAAAAGGCTCCCCCAAAGAGGGGGGATGGAGGAGGAATCGGATGAGGAGGCAGACGAGGATGATGAGGAGGGGGAGGAAGTGGAGGACGACGAGGAGGAACAGGGTGAGGAATGGGGAGGAGGAGGAGGCGGAGGAGGAGGAGGAGGAGGAGGAGGAGGAGGAGGAGGAGGAAGAGGAGAAGGGGGAGGAGGAGGAGTAGGAGGAGGAGGAAGAAGAGGAGGAGGAGGAGGAGGAGGGAAATGGGGGGGAAGGGGGGGGGAGGAGGAGGAGGAAAAGGGTGAGCAGGGGGGCTAGGCCTCTTGGATACCTCTCAGAGTCTCCTCGGGTGTGTCTTGGGAGTTTCTTCGAGGCTTCTTGGGGCATTTTGGGGGTCTCTTGGCGGTCCTGGTGGCCTCGTGAAGCGTCTTGGACATTCAAGCAGGGCGTCATCAACGACCTGAGAATAGGAGGGGCACGTTGCCGCTGTCAAGTTACGTGGCCCCAGCGCGAGTTCGACGGCGCGAGGGCATGTTGATCTTTCGGCCTTTCGACCGCGAGCCGTGCACCCAGGGTGAACGGAAGGGGCCCGCGTTACTTTTGCAATCGTTGCGTGAAGACGATCTGGGATGGGACGCTATGGAGAAGGAGTTCATGCCTGCGGGGAGGTGCGCGCTTGGCGCGCCGGTCAAGTACAAGAACCAATATGCCCTTAGGCCATGGAGTTGCGATGGCGGTATCCGCGTGCGTTGCCTGTGCCTGGAAGGCAAGAGCAGTGTGGGCACGCCGTGGCAGCGCTAGTAGCGCGGCCTTTGGAAAGGGCAGGATGTTCTCCACGCGTCCCAGCACTGGCCATCGAAGTTGACATCGCGGCGCTGCGTCGACTGCCCCGAGCGAGCGTTTCGTTTGCGAGGTTCGGAAATACGAAGGTGCGTTCGCGCAGAATCAATGGAAGCGGGCAGGGAACAATCGATGCAGAGGGGGGGGTGCGTAGGGTGCGACGAGCTGAAGAATCACCTGAAGTGTGCCCGCCGCGGAGAGGAGGAACTCGCAAGGGACTTCCAAAAACGGACGCTCACAACGAAGAGCGGCCGTGCAAGGAACGCAAGAAGACAGTGGGACATGAGAAGAATCAGCGCAAAATGGATGCGGAGGCACTGCTGCGTGGTGGATGCGGAGAGCAGAAATGCGGTAATAAGTTCACGACCGCATGCGGTGGCCTGAGGCGGCGGCAAACCAGAGGTGCCTCGTGTGCATGGACGCGGATGTGCAAGCGAGGCAGCAGGCTTCGCAGTTGCGCCGATGCGCGGTCCAAGCGGAGGCGCCGCGGGTGCATGGACAGAGGGCTTCGCGCGAGAAGGAAGGAGTCGCGGTTGCGCCGCGGGCGAGGATGCGAGAAAAAACTGGCTTTCGCCGCGCGGATGCGGAGCGGCGTCGCAGCAACGAAGTGGGGGCGCATTGTGTGCGTGGGGTCTGGTAAAGCCCCGCGCGGCCACTGGAAATGCAGTGGTTGTTGAAGCGATTTCGAGAAGGATGCGTTCACTTCCTGGCTGGCGACGAGGGCGACGAAAAAATCCGACAGGAGATAGGAGCGCAACGAATGTTTCGCGGAAGAAGGACGCGCGAAGACAGTAGTCGCCGAGACGATCTGGGCGTCGGTGGCGAAAATTTGTAGATGGGGCGAGGTGGTGTGGGGGGGGGGGGTGGCTGGGGGGGCGTAGTCCGTCCGGCGCGGCAGCTGCCGCCCGACGTGGTTTAATCCTCTTTAGTCGTTCCGACGACGACGTTCCAGTCGTTGCCTCCTAACCAGATGCCCTGGTCGTGATGTTCGAAAAGGTGTAGTTTCGTCGGGGACGTCACGTCGGATTTCAGAGCCCTGGGCCTTGTCCACGGGAGGCGCATGCGCCGATCCGGTGACCAGCATGGGCCTAACCGGCATTTCCAGGCATCCTTCCTCCTCCCCATCCAAGTTTTTTTAACTTATAGATAACCCCTCCGTGTCGCACCCCGAGGCCAGTTTTAGGGAAGGCCGGGCATCTCGCTTGAGATCCCCTCGCCACTTATGATTTTGAAGCTTTTAAAAATGGCAACAGTTTGACAGATGGAGGGCGGATCGTTTTAAATGTGGCTTTCGCCTTAGCGCCGCGCACACTCGCATTCAACATTGTAGGAGCTTCACGAACTGAGGACGGGTCGTTTTCAAAAGGTGGCTCTCGCCGTAGCGCCGCGCATATTTAAAGAAACCGGCTGCAGGAACTTCAAGGATTGAGGGCGGGTGGTTGTCAAAGTGCGGCTATCGCCTTGGCGGCGCGCATATTCGCTTTAAACATGTGCAAGAGCTTCACGGATTGAAGGCGGGCCGTTTTCGAATAGCGACTCTCACCCTAGCGCCGCGCACATTCGTTTCCAGATTTTGCAAAACAAAAAAAAAACTTCACGGATTGAAAGCGTTTCTTCTACAAAATGTGGCTCTCGCCCCAGCGCCGCGCACATTTGTTCCCTACCTAGGCTCTGCCTAGAAGGGTTCTTTCTCTCTGGGCTTAAAGGGGCCCGCCAGTGGAAAGCGCCCCGGGCGGTTCCCCCAGTATCCGCCACGCGGTTCCCCCAGCTGCGCCCCCTTAGCTTAGCTTTGCTTATCTCATCTTAGCTTACCCTAGCTTAACTTACCTTAGCTTTGCTTAGCCTAGCCTAGCCTAGATTAGCCTAGCTTAGCTTAGCTGAGCCTAGCTTAGTCTAACCTAGCTTAGCTTACCTCAGCTCAGCTTGGTTTAGCGCAGCGCAGCATTAACACAGCATAGCATAGCATAGCAGATCATAGCATAGCATAGCATAGCGCACTATAACACAGCGCAACATAGCATAACATAGCATGGCATAGCATAGCATAGCATACCATTGCATCGCGCAGCGTAGCATAGCATAGTTTAGCTTAGCATAGCACAACGCAGCATATCATATCATGACATAGCATAGCATAGCATAGCATAGCGCAGCATAGCATATCATAGCATAGCGTACCGCAGCGTAGCATAGCATAACATAGCATAGCATAGCATAGCGCATCAAATCATAACATAGCATAGCGCAGCATATCACATCATAGCATAGCCTAGCATAGCACATCATAGCGCATCATATCATAGCATAGCATAGCATACCATAGCATAGCATAGCGCAGCACATCATAACATATCATAGCATAGCATCGCGCAGCATATCATAGCATAGCATAGCCTCGCATAGCATAGCGCAGTCTAGCATATCCTAGCATAGCATAGCATAGCATAGCGCAGCATAGCGCAGCATAGCGCAGCGCAAAACCAAGCACACACAACACCAAGCAACAGCAACAACAAAAGCAAATCAAAAGCAGCAGCAAACGCAACAGTAAAGGCAAAGGCAAAAGCAAAGGCAAGGGCAATAGCAAAGGCAATGCACAGCAAAAGCACAACCAATGCGAAAATGTAGATGTATATTTAGATGTCGGTTTAGGTGTAGATGTGGATGTAGGTGTAGATGTAGATGTAGATGTACATGTAGGTGTAGATGTAGGTGTAGATGTCGATGTCGATGTGAGTGTAGTTGTAGATGTAGATGTCGATGTAGATGCATGTGTACATGTAGATGTAGCTGTCGGTGTAGATGAGGATGTAGGTCTAGATGTAGATGTAGGTATTGAGCTGTATTACTACTACTACTACTACTACTACTACTACTACTACTACTACTACTACTACTACGACTACTACTACTACTACTACTACTACTACTACTACTACTACTACTACTACTACTACTACTACTACTACTACTACTACTACTACTACTACTACCGCTCCTGCTACAACTGCGACGATGAGGAGAAGGAGGAGGACGGCGTTGACCGTTACTATTAATATTGCTCTCCTCGGGGCTCCAACTCCTAGGTAGGGTCGCTCTGGGATGATTTGAAATATTTGCAGGAGTACCACGGATTCCCATTCTCAGCGTACCAAACATAATGTTTTGGAAGGCTTCAGCATTATGTGGGTGCCACACATATGTTGGTTCGCGGTGCTAGAATCCCAACAATGACGCTCTGGCACGATTCCGGATTCTCGAGTCGCAACACTCAGGTTGATAAATGGCGTTGAAATGTTGAGAACAATGTTTTGGCAAGCTTCAGGATCTTCAAACGGTTGTCTTCCAACGAGGCAGCTCCCTCAATGGAAATGAACCGTCGTGGGGGCCTATGAAGAAGGAATTTGGAGGAAGGATTAATCCCAGTACTTTGGGTTTTACACTGGTCCTTCCCCTCCTCCTCCTCCTCCCTCTCCTCTCTGTCCTTCCTCTCCTCCCTCCCCTCCCACTCCTCCCTCGCCTCCCTCTCCTCCCTCTCCTCCCTCCCCTCACTCTCTTCCTCCTCTTCCTCCTCCTCCTCTTCCTCCTCCTCTTCCTCCTCCTTCTCCTCTTGCTCCTTCTCCTTTTCCTCCTCCACTCTGTTTCCTTATAGATAATGTCTTCCTGTCGCACCCCGAGGCCAGTTTTTCGGGTGGGCAAGGCGTTCCGCCTGAGACTCCCTCACCACCTCTGATTCTGAAGCTTAAAAGAGTGGCAACAGTTTGACAGATGCAGGGCGGGTCGTTTTCGAAATGTGGCTGTCGCCTTAGCGCCGCGCACACTCACATAAACATTTGTAAGAGCTTCCCGGATTGAAGGCGGTTGGTTTTCAAAATGTGGTTCTCGCTCTAGCGCCGCGCACACTCGTTTTAAAACATGTGCAAGAGTTTCACGGATTGAGGGCGGGTGGTTTTCAAAATGTGGTTCTCGTTGTAGCGCCGCGCACATTCGTTGTACAACATGGCGGTCGTTTCTCGGATTGAAGGCGGTTGGTTTTCAACATGTGGTTCTCGCTGTAGCGCCGCGCACATTCGTTTTAAACATTTGCAAGGGTTTCACGGATTGAGGGTGGGTGGTTTTTAAAGTGTGGTCTTCGCTTTAGCACCGCGCGGGAGCTTCACGGATTGAGGGCGGTTCGTTTTCGAAAGGTGGTTCTCACATTAGCGCCGCGCACGTTCGTTTAAAACATGTGCGAGGATTTCACATATTGAGGGCGGTTCCTTTTCAAAATGTGGGTCTCGCCCCAGCGCCGCGCGCATTCCTTTTGAACCTCTGCAAGAGTTCACGGATTCCCATGCTCAACGTACCAGAAATATTGTGCTGAACGGATTTAGGATTATGCGGGTGCAACACATATGTTGATACGCGATGTTCCTCAAAAATGGCGTTCTGGCACGGTTCTAGATCGTACGGACGCAGCAGTTCGGTTGATCCGTGGTGTGGAAATCTTGGCCTGGGAACAATGGTTTGGCACGCTTCCAACGAGGAAGATCCCTCAATGGAAATGAACCGCTGTAGGGGCCTATGACATATGAAGAGGGAGCTTGGAGGGAGGGAATGTTGATTCCAACATCGTTGATGACTCTTGAGTTTACACTGGTCCTCCTCCTCATCCTCCTTCTCCTCCTCCTCCTCCTCCTCATTATCATCATCATCATGTTCCTCCTCCTCCTGCTCCTCCTCCGCCTTCTCCCTCTCGTCCCTCTCCTCCCTCTCCTGGCTCCTCCTCTTGCTCCTCCCTCCGCCTCCTCCTCCTCCTTTTCTTCCTCCTCCTCCTCTTCCTCCTTCTCCTCCTTCTCCTCCTCCTCCCTCTCCTCCCTCTCCTCCCTCTCCTCCCTCTCCTCCTCCTCCTCCTCCTCCTCCTGCTCCTCCTCCTTTCGAGTTTCTCAGAAAGGTTACGGTGTCCCTGGAAGTCCCGACCACTTCCCCAGCGAGGGCACCCCGAGGCCGACGACGGTGACAAACCGGTCGCCCTGAGTTTCTCGAGACGTTGGGGGTGGAGGGCCCCCCGAGGCCGACGACGGTGAACAACCTCCGCCCTGAGTTTCGCGAAACGTTGGAGGTGCAGGGTCCCTGGAAGTCGCGACCCTTCCCCTGGCGAGGGCCCCCAGAGGCCGACCACAGTGAAGATTGGCTTGGCGAGAGACCCAACCATGTGCAGTTGTGGGCACTGCCGTTGTATGCGCCGCATTCGGTGGAGGTCCCTTTGGGGCCACGAAGCGTGTAAAGGGTGTACCAAAATGGGTGCGGTGGACGATTGCGAGCGCTGGCATTTGGGCCGTCGGTGGCGTGCCCTATGTGGCGACGAACCGTGCGAGACATGGGCGCGGTGGGCGCACGCGAGCGCTGGCATCTGGGCCTTCGGTGGAGCCCCCTATGGGCCAACAAAAAGTGTGAGGGGTGTGCCAAAATGGGCGCGGTGGGCGCATGCGAGCGTTGGCATCTGGGCCTTCGGCGGGGCTCCCTATGGGGCCAAGAAACGATTGGGGTGTGCCGAAGTGGGCGCGGTGGGCGCATGCAAGCGCTGGCATCTGGGCCTTCGGCGGGGCTCCCCATGGGTCCACAGAACGTGTGAGGGATGTGCCAAAAAGGATGCGGTGTGTGCGGATGCGAGCGCTGGCATCTGGGCCTGCGGTGGAGCTCCCTATGGGGCCACAAGCGTGTGAGGGGTGTTCCAAAGTGGGGGAGGAGAGAGGAGGGGGAGGATGGGAGGAGGGAGGAAGGATGGAGGGGGAGGATGGAGGAGAGGAGGAAGGAGGAGGATGGGAGGATGGGAGGATGGGAGGAGGGGGAGGGGGAGGGAGGAGAGGAGGAGGGGGAGGATGGGAGGATGGGAGGAGAGGAGGAGGGGGAGGATGGGAGGAGGGAGGCGGGCAGCGGGCGGAGCGAGGACGCGGGGCGGCGCTGCCTCTGCGGAGCGGGGGCCCGACACCACAGGGCCGCTGGGAACGACTCCGCCCCCGGGCTTCTCGAGGCGCCGGAGGCCCGGGTCGGTGGGGCGGCCGGCCTGCTGGCGTCGCCCGACCTCCCGGGGCGATCTGCCATGTCCCCGGCCTCGCTCCGCCGCGCGGCCCGCGGCGCCGCCCGCTCCGCAGGCGCGGGCGCCCCGCCCCGCGGGAGTCACAAGAAGCACCCGGGGGGGGGGCGGGAGGGGGGGGGGAGGACGGCCTCCACGGCGTGCTGATCCGCCGCGGCCCCTCCCCGAGGTCCTCGCCCCTCCTCGATCCTGCCTTTGTCCTCGATCCTGCGCGGTCCTCGTGCCTCCTCGATCTCCTGGCCGATCCTCGCTCCTCGCCCTCCCTCCTCTTCGTTCCTCCCCGTCCCTCCCTCGGTGCCCCTCCATCCTCGTGCCTCCCCGATCCTGCCCGATCCCTCCTTCCCCTCACCGATGCTCCTCGACCATCCGCGTTTTTTCCCCCGACCCTGCCCGGCGCTCCTCGCGTCCGGGAGGGTCGAAGAGGCTCGAGGAGGATCGAAGAGAATCGAGGAGGCTCCAGGATCGAGGAGCCCGTCCTCGATCCTCGAGCCTCCTCGAGCCGCGATGCTCCTCGAGTCCCGCCGGGCCGCCGGGCGGGCCTGCAGGGGAGCGCGCGCCGCGGTGCCGTGCCGTGCTGCGCCCGGGGCAGGAGCCTGGAGCCCTCGGGGGCGGCGGGGGGGGGGGGGGGGCAATTGGAGCCCACGGCCTCCACGGCGTTGCGGGTCCTCCTCGAGCTCCCCTTCGGGCCTCCGCCTCGAACCTCCCCCATGCGATGCTCCTCCTCGATCCTCCTCGATCCTCCTCCTCCTCGATCCTCCTCCTCGCTCCTCGTGACTCCCCGCTCCTGCTCGACCCTCCTCCATGCCCCTCTCGACCCACGCCGCCGGCCGAACTCGGCCGCCCGGCCCGCGGCGCCCGCCCGCTCGAGCCGCGTCGCGGGCCCCTTGCCCCCGAAGGAGGAGCTCTCGGGGGAGCCGGTGGCAGGTCTCGGGCCGGGCGAAAGGGGGGGATTGGGAAAGGGGGGGTTACGAAATTTGCTGCATGCAGCTGGTTTCGGCCTCACCGAGGGGCCCATTCCTCGAGACATGGGCGCCTCCGGCGCCGGGAGGCGCCGGGGAAATCAGCTTCGTGAGCTGGTTCTCAACCCCCCCTTTGCTATCCCCCCTTTCGCCCGACCCGAAGGTCGCAGGAGGCAGGCCCAGAGGGCTCTGACGCTCCAGCCAACAAAACATTGGAGCCGGCGGCCTCGAGGGCCCTGGTCGGCCTCTCATGGAGGCCCTCGCGGGGCCTCGGGAGCGTCAGAAAGCGATTCCGGAGGAGAACCAGCCCGGGGGAAGCGGCCCGGACCTCCCGGGGCCCACGCACCCAAAAATCTTGGAGCAGTTGGATGTTTGGGGGAAGGCACCGATATTGCCACCTTTTCCACGGCTTCGCCTCCTGGGGCCTCCAGGGCAGGCCATCGCTGTTCAGGTCGCGCCCCCAGAGAGGTCCGGAGAGCAGCGGTATTGGTGCTTTTATGCCTCTCAAAGATGCCCAGATTGTCTTCTGCTCCGCGTGGGCTCGAGAGTTCCAGAGATGGGGGCCGCTCGAGACGTACTCCAGAGCTTCTGTGACGCCTCCGGAGCCAGCGGCACCATGACGTCACACTCGGAAGCATGTCCTGGGCGGTGGGCTCAGATTTCTGCTTCGCCGTGGTCGGTCTCCAGTGCGCCCCTTCTTTCGGCCGCGCCCTCCTCCTGCTCCCCCTCCTGCATGGTGGCACAGCTCGCCATAACAGCACCACCGTTAGGCCTTAGCGTCGGTGTATAGAGGTCGGTTCCCTACGTTGGGCCTCTGGGCCGCCAAAGAGCGGCTCGGGACGGAGAGCCTGCCCCTGCCAGCCGAGGGTAAACCATCAATGCATAAACAGACTCATTAGTGCATAATGCTTGGTCGTTTATGCATAAAGCTTGTTTTAATACAATAACTCTTGGTGAATACAGTAATGAATGCAGTGGTGAATACAGTGGTGAATACAATGGTGAATACAGTAATGAATACAGTGATGAATACAGTGATGAAGACAGTAGTGAATACAGTAGTGAATACAGTAATGAATACAGTAGGTGTAGGCAATAAGTGAGGTCGTGGCGTCGGAGGCCTGGATCCTCCGTGCACCCGTGCCGCTGCACCCTCCTGCCTCGCGGAACCGCATCTCGGGCCCTGCTGGCGGGATCCCCGTCGCCACGGCTGGGTTAACGAACCGAGTCCTCCTCCTCCCCCTCCTCCTCCTCCTCCTCCTCCTCCTCCTCCTCCCCCTCCTCCTCCTCCTCCTCCTCCCTCCTCCTCCTCCTCCTCCTCCTCCTCCTCCTCCCCCCCCTCCTCCTCCTCCTCCTCCTCCTCCTCCTCCTCCTCCTCTCCCTCCTCCTCTACCTCCCCCTCCTCCTCCTCCTCCTCATCATCATCATCGTGCCCGTTCTCGTCCTCGTCCTCATTCTCGTGCTCCTCCTCCTCCTCCTCCTCCTCATCGTGCCCGTTCTCGTCCTCGTCCTCATTATCGTGCTCGTCCTCCTCCCCCTCCCCCTCCTCCTCCTCCGCCTCCTCTTTCTCCTGGGCTCAGTATCGTGTAACCGACCCCCATCCCCATCCTCATCCCCTTCGAGACCCCCGCCAAATAACCGCCCCAGTTGGGGATGCACCCCTCGAAACCCGAATGGAACGGCCCATATCCCCATCTGGGGAGGTAAATCGGCCAGTGGGGCCCAGGCCACGCCGCTGAGGATGGGGATCGGATACACGATGCTCATGGACCGTGCGCGGCCCCGGGAGAGGCCAGAAGAGTGGCTGTATGCATCGGGCTCCCCACGGCCTCCGCCGTCCTCCACGTCGTCCTCGTCCTCGCCCTCGCCGTCCTTCTCCTCCTGCGCTCCCTCGTGAAGCTCCTTCCTGGACATCCGACGTCGTGCTTTTTTCAGGGCGGGGTCCCAGGAGCTCTGGACCACCTGCCAGGGACGGTTTTTTGTTGTCCCCCAGCCACTGGCAACTCCCGATAGTTGCCGATGGGTGGGAATGCGGGGGGCATCTGTCTGCGGCAGTACGATGCACCAACGGATCGAACTCATGCCCCCCCTCAGGGTCACCCCCTTTTTTGGTGGACCCCGACAACTGTGAAAAGGCGTGTCGAGGAGTTCGAGCAGGGGGTCGGCTACAGAATAGATCGACCCAAATCTGTTTTTTTCGTCGAAGCTGCGGAAAAAAAGTTGCATGTTGGTAGGTCAACGGAAGAATGTTCGTCTTAGGAGATCGGCCGGGGCAGGGGTGAGGGCACGGCCATGCGCACTGGTTGTGGTTCGGTAGTTGTGGGTCTTGCCCACGTGTCGGAGGCCGTGGTCGTGCGTCCCTGGTGTTTGTCCATCTTTTCGGGGGGCTTTCCCGCATGCCGCGGTGGCGCGCGCGGGTGGTCCGTTCGCGTTAATCTCCCCTCGGGAGGCTGTTGCCCTTCCTCTTTCTTCACGGTAAGGTGAATGCGTCCAAGGTCTGGGTCTCTCTCTCGACCTCCTCGTCGCCTCGTCCTGCTCCTCCTCGCCCTTCTCGTCGCCCTCCTCCTTGCCCTCCTTGTCGCCCTCCTCGTCCTCCTCGTGCTCGCCCTCCTCGTTCGCCTCGACGCCCTCCTCGTCCTCCTCGTTGCCCTCTGTTAAGTCGGGCCTGTCCCTCTACAGGGGGAATAGCAAAACATAGTTAAAAAAAAATGTCTAGAGAGTGTGTGTTGAGTATGTCTTGACAATTTTGGGATGTTTTTGCGTATTTCCAATTTTTCGTCGAAAATCCCCCTGTAGGGGGACACGCCCTCCTCCCCTCCAACGAGGTGCCGGCCCGCCGCGCGGGAGCCCAGTGGCCTCGCGGCGGGCACTCGGGATGCTGCCGCCGCGGCGGCCGGCGCAGCTCCTGTGCCACGGCGCCAGGCGCTGGTGTGCCCAGCAGGCCTCCTCCTCCTCATCCGCCTCCTTCTCCTCCTCCTCCTCCTCCTCCTCCTCCCCCTCCACTCCCCTCCTATCTCCCCTCCTCCCCTCCTCCTCCTCCTCCTCCTCCTCCTCCTCCTACGTCCTCCTCTCCCCTACCTCCCCCTCTCCTCCTCCCCTCTCCTCCTCCTCCTCTCCTCCTCCTCCTCCTCCTCCTCCTCCTCTTGTGCCACGGCGCCAGGCGTTGGTGTGCCCAGCAGGCCTCCTCCGCCGCTGGCAGCCTCGCGCTATGTCCCAGCGGCCTCGCGCTATGTCCCAGCGCTCCGCGCGCCAGGGAGGGGGCTGCAGCGCAGATCCAAGAAATCCGCGCGGAGATCCAAACAAAATGTATGTCAAATTATTGCGTGTTTTGCTCCTCTATCCCCCTCCCCTGGCATCTTCGCGCTGCGGACAGGGAGTCACGACGGAAGGTTCGACGGGCGCAGCTCTTGTGCCACGGCGCCGAGCGCTGGTGTGCCCAGCAGGCCTCCTCCGCCCCTGGCTTAGGATGTTCCGACCGATTTTAGCCGTGACCGCCAGAGAGGAATTCCGAGCACCAGAGAATTACCGAATTTCGAGGGTTTTCACGGGTTGGGCCCTGGGGGACACTCGCCAAACACTGTTTCGACATTCTCTCGGCACTCTTTCGACACTTCCGGGTGCTCGAAATCATTTCTGCGATGTGGTCCTTAAGTACGATGGGAGCAACATAGCCCCTGGCTCGAAGAAGAAACAACGCCATGAGCATAAACTTTTGGCGCTCCGCGCGGATTTCTTGGATCCGCCGCCGGGGCCCCCCGGCGGCGCCTCCGGCGCCGCCCCTGCGGCGCTCCGCGCGCCAGGGAGGGGGGTGCAGCGCAGATCCAAGAAGTCCGCGCGGAGATCCAAACAGCATTTATGCACAATTATTGTATGTGTTTTGCTCCTCTATCCCCCTCCCCTGGCATCCTCGCGCTGCGGACAGGGAGTCGCGACGGAAGGTTCGACGGGCGCAGCTCTTGTGCCACGGCGCCGAGCGCTGGTGTGCCCAGCAGGCCTCCTCCGCCCCTGGCAGCCTCGCGCTGCGGAAAAGCAAGCACGATGGAAGGTTCGACGGGCGCAGCTCTTGTGCCACGGCGCCAGGCGCTGGTGTGCGCAACAGGCCTCCTGCGCCCAGGGCATCCGCGCTGCGGAAACAGAAACACGAAGGGGAGGGGGGGGGGCTGGGGGGGGGGGCTATCTTCCTCTGGGGGCCCCTGCTGGGCTCCAGGACCGTGGAAAAACTTGGGCGTCGCGTGGTCATAAGCACGGGGGGCTGCGAGGGCTGCAGAAAAGGGGCTCTTTCGGGTCCATGAAGGGGCCTTGTAGTGCCCAGAAGGGGGCCTCTCAAGGCCGGAGAAATGCACCTTTCTTCCCCACCCCAGCTATCGCCCCCATCTTGAGCGACCCCACAAAACGACTCGGGATGAAAAGCCGTCCCTGGGGAAATTGTCGGGACGTCTGGGGACTCCGCATCGGACAAATCGAAACATCGCACGTCTGGGCTTGCCCTCCTCCCCAGACAGGAGGGGCGACGATCACTATGGGTGCTTTCGCCCCGCATCGACTCCCTTGGCGCGCGCCGATCGATCCCGCTCGGAAACCGGATGCCGCGACGGGAGGGGCGGCTCCCGTCGCGGATCTGTCCAGATGCCGGTTCTCGGGGCTCTCGTCGTTCCTCCTCCTACGACATCGGCCCGATAGCTCGATCGATCGATCCTCCTCCTCCTCCTCCTCCTCCTCCTCCTCCTCCTCCTCCTCCTCCTCCTCCTCCTCCTCCTCCCCGCGGAGGTTGCCGGCGAGGCTGCGTTCGAGCCAGGGCGGGTGCCAGTCAGGCTGCTGGCGCGTCACTTCATGACGTGCGCGGTGCCCATGGTCGGCTTCGGCTTCATGGACAACACCATCCTGATCCGCACGGGCGATGCCATAGAGCGGTACTTCGGCGTCGCCTACAACCTCTCTGGCCTGTCGGCGGCGGCCGCGGGGCAGGTGTTCAGCGACTTCAGCGGCGTGCTGTTTGGTGGCGTGGTGGAGTCCGCGTCGAGGTGCTTCATACTGCCGCCCGAGTTCTCCGCCGCGCAGGCCTCCCTGAGGCTCGTGCAGGTGGTCGGGACGGCCGGGGCTGCGTGCGGCGTGGTGGCCGGGTGTCTGCTGGGCATGGCCAACCTGCTGACGATGGACCTGGAGGAGGCCGAGCGGCTCAAGCGGATGGCCGAGCTGGAGGAGATCTTCACCGTGGTCATGCAGTCTGCGAGGGACACGATAGGGACCAACATGGGCAGCATCTTCCTGGTCGACGAGGACTCTGGGCAGCTGTGGACCCGCGTGCAGACGGGCACGGACGAGTCGATCAAGATCCCGATCTCGGAACGGAGCATCGCTGGGTGGGTCTGTTTGCACAACGAGCACCAGATCATCCCAAATGCATACGAAGACTCGCGGTTCAACCCGGAGGTTGACAAGAAGTTTGGCTGCAAAACTGAGAACATGCTTGCCGTTCCGGTAAGGTCGATGGCGGATCCCGCAAAGGTTATTGGAGTCATACAGTTGATCAATAAAGAGGCTGGCCCTTTTGATGACCATGACGTGAAGGCATGTAGGATGCTTAGCATTCACGTGTCAGTATTCCTCTCCAAGTGCGAGTGAGCCATCTGAAGTTGAGATCGATGAGGTCTTAGGAAGTCTGTGTATGTATGAACTGCTGTCTCACTGCCCATCTCGACGCGCCGCTGCAGCTTGCCAATGCCAGGAATGAGTTCCAGACCGCGCTGACCGCGCAAACGCTTTTTTTGTAGTCGGTCGGCTTCCCCCGCCTCCTGACGCTTCGCGTATCCCCACCATCCCATTCAAAAACGCTGCCCATACGAGCTGCCTGCGCAAGGAGGCTGAGGGAGGGGAAGATCGCGCGCCACCGGGCGCGCGGAGCCCGCGGTTGCCCGCCCACGCCGCCCGATGCAGCCGGGGTCGGGGCAGGTCTTCGGGGCCTTCGAGGCCTCGAGGTGCTCAGCCAGGGCACCCAATCGGAGTAATGCTGGCATTCGCGGCCGCCCATCCAGAGGAGGGAGGGGGAGGGAGGGAGGGAGGGAGGAGGTGGAGGAGCGGGAGGGGCAGGAGGAGGAGGAGGATGAGGGGGGAGGGGAGGACAGCACGGAGAAGAGAGGGGAAATTGCCTACCAAGCGCCTTGCCCGTCTCCATCGCTTGACGGCGGCCTCTTGCCACTTCCGAGATACTCTGCAGCAAGGCCCACCACCACCCCGCCACCGCGGCAACATGCTGCACATGCTCGGCAAAGAACCAAGGGTCCGGACTGGTCAGGGGCATGGCGCAACTCCCTGAACCCTACCAGGGCTCCCTCGTGCTCAGTGACCGCTGGCACAGGAAGGATCGGCGGTTCAGTAGCCGAGGTCTCTGCCGACACGAGGACCAGGGAGTTGGAGGAGGTGGAAGGAGGGAGAAGAAGTAGGAACAGGGAGGCTGAGGAAGAGGAAGGGGAGTGGAGGAGAACGAGGACGAGGAGGAGACCTCGTGAATTTTTCTGTTGGTGAGAATTCTCTTCCGGGACTCTTCGACTCTTCGAGCTATCTTGGTATCTTCATGGGGCTCTCTCGGGGTCCTCTTGGGAGTGTCTCGGGGCACTCTTGGGGCTGTGTCGGAATGTTATGGGACCATCGTGGGGCTCTTCTGGGCCCCATGGCTCAAACAAGGGAAGGGGGGGCAATTCGGCCTTCCCCTCATAGGCCGAAACTTGTTCTCCTGGGGGCCTCTTGAAGCTATCGTGGGACCCTCTTGGGGGCCTCTTTGGCTGCCTTGGGCTCTTTTTTGGGGCTCCCTGGGGTCATCTGAAAGCATCAGGGGCCCAGCGGAGGCGAGCAGGCAGGAAGGCACAACTCATTAATGTTGTTGGTGGTTTGGGTGCGAGTTGGTCCCCTGGTCCCTTTGGCGGGGTCCTTGAGGGGCTCTGGCCGTCTTTGAACCGTGTCGATGCACATTGCAGGCGAACTCAAGCCATCTTGCGCTGCCTTGCGCCACCGTGGAGGTCATCTTGAGCGATGCGAGGCCGTACTGTTGGCGTATGCAGCCGGAAAAAGACAATGTGGGCCCTCGCTCCCCCTCCCCCTCCCGTCCAGGCCCAGGGGCGGGGTAGGTTCCTTCTCCGAATAGGGGAAGAAGGAATTGTGAAAGAGGGAAGGAACGAACCGCGATTCCACCTGTGCCCAGAGGGCTGGTGGGATCCTGTTGCAGATCATCGGGTGCCTTCTTCCGTGCAGAAGTGGACTCTCAGGTCACGCTCGCGGTCACCTCACCGCTACCAGATCAGCAAGAGGGGGCCGAGCGGTCTTGCACCACCCCTGGGTGCGTGCCTGAAGGTGGCTTGCTGCGGCGAGGATTCTCGTTGTCCGTGGTTGCCGCCGTCCTCGCCCGCGGCCCGCCCGCGACCCCACCGCGACATATGCCCCCGACCTGCCCGCGATCCACTCGCGACCCACCCCCCGCGACCCACCCGCGCCTCGCCGGCGAACCACGCGCGACCCAACCGCGACCCACCCGCACGAATTTGAGGCAAACTGGGCGCCTGCGGCGGGCACGTGGTGCGATGACGACATTCGCGCATGTGGCGGGCGTCTTCAAGGTTGTCTCCGAGCTTCGCAGACTGCCGACGACCCCCCCCCCCTGGCCCTGCTCCCTCACTCGTATACGCAACCGCGAGGGAGCGATGGTCTTTCTTATATAACTGTCTATTTCATATATAGAGATAGATACACAGATGTAGATGCATGCGTATACAATTGCACATTGCACATATCTGTCTGCAGCCGTGTGCGTTGGATTCTGTGCGACTTTGCATCGTCCTTTGCCTGCACTGCCGCCCACGCTCGTGTCTGCACGTGCGCCGACGGCGTGTGTCCACACTCCCGCATGCGCACCTGCCCGTGCTGCGCACACCCCAGCATGCGCCCACGCCTCCCGCACGCAGCAGCCAACGTCGAACAGCGCCGAGGGCGGAACAGCTGTGCGCGCAATGCAAGCTCTCGCGCAAGTCGCCGACGACTCGATCACGTCCGTGCGCATTGGGCTATGTATTCCATGGTACCTCCGCATGCGCAGTCCATCCTTGCTTCGAGATGCTGCGCGCATCCTCGGCGTCCTGCAAGCGCGGGAAGGCGACGGCCGAGCAGCGGTGCGTGCGAACACCACTCGAGCCGCCTGCGCGGGCCGGAGGGCGAGAGGCCACGCATCGCAGCAGCACGCCCTCTGGGCAGCCGCTGCGAGGCGCGACAGCGGGGCATCTGTCGCCCGACCTGCCCGAGATCTACGAGGGCTTCCTGTGCACCTCTCGAAGCGATCTTGGGCCCCCTCCAAAAGGGTAGAGCGAGGCCGGCGGCCTGAAACGCAGCACGGCCAAAGCGTGGTCTGTTGCTCGGGTGGCTCGAAGACCTGTCGGCGGTACGGGGCGATGGCGATGACAATGACGATGACGGTGACGTCGTCATCATCATCATCAACAACATCATCATCATCATCATCGTCATCATCATCACCACCATCATCATCACCACCATCATCAGCTTCATCAGCATCATCATCAGCATCATCATCAACATCATCACCATCCTAATCATCAGCACCATATGCACCTTTATTTTCATATCCGTCGTGAGAATCATCATCACCGTCGGCATCACCATCATCATCCTCATCAACAACAACATCAACATCGATTTCACCAGCATCACCAGCATCTCCAGCATCATCATCAGCAGCATCATCATCACCATCGTCGTCGTCATCGTCGTCATGGTTGCGGTACCAGAACGTCCAGGGATCGGGCGGTGTGCTAGCCGGTCAGGTACGGCATCGGCGCGGGAGCCGGCCAGGGGCGGCCTTGGCCAAGAGCAGGATCCGAGGGCAACAGGAGGGGCAGCCGCTCAGGCGGAGCAGCGCGTGGCAACCAGGGCCGCGTGGTGCGAGGTGCGTAGCGGAAGCGCCACGCTGGCGCAGGGGCCTGCTGCGGGTGACAGGCGCTGCCCGCACGCGGCCCGCACTTTGGGTGGCGTTCAGCTGCGCCCGACTGCGCACCGCGCGTCTTCGCCAGGAAGCCCTCATCATCCTCGTCATCAGCATCCTCATCATCATCATCATCCTCCTCCTCCTTGACCTCCTCCTCCACCTCACTTATCATCATCCTCATCATCATCCTCATCCTCACCCTCATCCTCATCCTCATCCTCATCAGCATCCTCCTCCTCCTCATCATCATCATCATCAGCCGCATCCTCATCCTCCTCCTCATCATCATCATCATCATCAGCAGCATCATCAGCAGCATCATCAGCATCATCATCATTATCATCGTCTTCAGCATCATCATCAGCATCAACATCAGCATCAGCATCATCATCATCATCGTCAGCAGCATCATCATCCCCATCCTCACCAGCATCCTCATCAGCATCCTCATCCTCACCAGCATCCTCATCCTCATCATCACCATCATCATCACCAGCATCAGCATCATCATCAGCATCGAGGCCACCGTGGGGGGCCAAGGAGGCGGAACCACACTCACAACCCACACACACACACACACACATTGGGCGCAACAGTGGGGCGCCGCGGCGCTAATGGCTGAGGGCTCCAGGGAGCTCTGGACCCGATCTCCCCTTGGTCGCAGAACTGGCTGGTCTCGTCGTCGCCCCCTGGAGTCTGCCAAGTCGGCCTCGCCCGAGTCAGGACTGCATCCATCCACCTGTGGCAACGTGGCCAGATCGCTGCAGTTGGGTGCTGCACTCCCCGCAGATGCGGGAGGCAGGCTTCCGCCTCCGCCTCGCGTCCGGGGTGAACCCCGCGGCTCGCGCGTCTGGGGCTACCAACGCCTCACCCACGCAGGCAACCTTTGCCGCTCGCCACCAATCGGCGGAACTCGCCATGCGCAGTGAGGACCTCGTGGCATCTGTCACGACGGGGCTGAACGGCGCGGCTGTCGGTGCGCCGCGCCGCAAGCCGTACGGGCGAGCTCACGGGGGCCGTGCACGTGCGTTTGCCCCCACCTTGCTTGCGCCTCCTCGTCTGCAAGCTGGCGGAGCTGTAGTCCCCGTCATGCGTTCTGCGGCTCCCGCCTCGGCATCGGAGGTCGCCTCGTCGTGGAGGGCGTCGGCGTGGACCCGTCGGCCGCCCACTCCCGCTCAAGGGCTTTGGTTGGTGTTTGCTTGTGCGTCTCGCGGTGGAGGGGGCAGCCGGCAGCGCTCGTTGAGGTGTCTCTTCGCAGTCGATTCCACCCGTTTTGCGCCGCCGTCTGGAGAGACACACAGAGACACACACACACATATATATATATAGATGTACAAGACTGCAGTGGCGCTTTGCGCCATGCACCTTGGTCCTTTGAGTTTCGCACGCGGGCGGGGGGCGTGCCCGTGCACATGCGCGTGCGCGCGCATGCACGCCATACATATATGGACATATAGGTGTGTACTTGAATCTATGCATATACAGATGTGTGGGTATACTGATAGACGTACACATACACATATATACATATATATATATATACATACATGCATGATTGCGCATACAGGTGGTTCATGGATCCTTGGGCAGCTCTACGTGTACCCATAGGCATGTCTATATACATGTACGCGGTCGTGGTCACTGGAGGGGCCAGACACGCAGTTAAGGGCTCGCGAGTGCCAACAGACTTATGTAGGAGACGGCATGGAGGACACGGCAGAATGTGGAACGGCGACCTGGGCTTACCAATGACCGTGTCTTTGGGGCTATGGAAGGAGCCGTGTGAGGGCCTCGGGGGGCCTCGGGGCCGTGTCGCAGCGGGGCCCGATTATCTCGACGTTTAAGTTGTTTTGCGCCGCCGTTTGCTCTTGGGAGGCCTCGCGTTCAGAGTGTTAACGTCACGTGGACCTTATTGGAGCCTCCTGGAGCCTTCTGAGGGTCTCTGTGGGACGTGGAGCAGTCCCGTTATGGCTTGGGCCCATCTGAAGCGCGTATTTTTCTTCGTTGGGCTGTCTTAGGGTCATGTTCGGGCTCCTGGCCCGTTTTGGGTCTGTCTTGGGGGCCTTTTTTGGCGTTGCCGAACTTCCGCGAGGTCCTTGCAGGATCGTTCGGGGACTCTTGGGGACCTCTTGGGGCTTCCTGGGGGCCTCTTGGGGTCTCTTCGGGGCCTCTTGGGAACCTCCTGGGACCTCTTGGGGCTCGGGACTGTCTGGGGGCCCTCTTGGGCCGGTTTGGGGCCCCCTTGGGCCAGTTTGGGGCCCTCTTGGAGGTCTGTCGGGCCGTGTTAGAGCGATATTGGGGGCCTTGTGGGCCGTCTTGGAGCGTCGGGAAGCCAGAAAAGGGAGACTGACAAGCCAACGGGAAATCAATTAATTTTGCTTTGTGGGGCCTTCTTGGGAGTGCTCTTGGAGGCCTCTTGGAACGTTTTGAAGCGATATCGTACTTCTGTGGGGTCCTTGCAGGATCTTTTGAGACTCTTGGGGCTTCCTGGGGTCCCTTCGGGGTCCTAGGGCCTCCTGGGGCCCTGTCGGGACTGTCTCGGGGCCCTCTTGGGCCGGTTTGGGGTCCTCTTGGAGGTCTGTCGGGCCGTCTTCGGGCGATCTGGGGGGCCTCGTGGGCCGTCTTGGAGCGTTGGCAAGCCGAAAAGGGGAGAACTTCCAAATCCACAACAAACCAACGGAAATTCAATGAATCTTGCCTCTTGGGGCCCTCTTGGGAGTGCTCTCGGAGGCCTCTTGGAACGTCCTGGAGGGAAATTTGGGGGTATGATGGCTCCTTTGGGATCGTCGTCGACCGTCGTGGGGCTCTCGGGGGTTGTTTCGGGAGTCTGCCGGAACGTCGGGGCACCCCTGGGGCTCTCCTGAGGTCATCCCAGGTCGTCTGGGGGGCTGGCCGAAAGGCCCGGGTGGGACAAATTCGTTAGGTGTGCGGGGGGGGGGGGGGGGGGGGGGGGCCTTTTTTCCGGGATCCCCAGCCTTACAACAGTAGGAATATACATATATATATATATATATATGTATATACATATATATATAGAACTATATAACTATATAACTATATAACTACACTCATGTCGTCTGTTAAGAAACTCACTTTTTTGAGCTGGGTCTCAGAATTTCTTAAACGAAAATAGGGAAATCGAAAAAGCTGGGACCAATTTCTTAAGTTTGATCGTTGTGTGTGGTGCTGGAGGGGGGTTGTGCTAGGGGGTTGTGCTGGGGGGTGGTGCTGATGGATCGTGCTGAGGGGTGGCGCTGGAGAGGGTTGTGCTGGAGGGTTGTGCTGGAAGGGTTGTGCTCAGCACAACCCTCTCCAGCACAACCCCTCAGCACCACCCCCAGCACAACCCCTCAGCACAACCCCTCAGCACACCCCCCGAGCACAACCCCTCAGCACAACCCCCCAGCACAACCGATCAGCACAACCCCTCAGCACAATCCCTCAGCACAACCTCCCAGCACAACACCTCAGCACAACCCCTCAGCACAACCCCTCAGGCACAACCGATC